CTTCCAGTACCATTCTTTCAAACCAATTACGTGAATAACAAGGTTAAAGAATTTGAACTTCTGAGAAACTATATTGCCCATGAGCCTGTCTCCCGTGATGTTCCTATCTTGGAGAATTATTATTATTTTTCCTTTTCTCGGTCCATGATTTTCTAAGAATCCTCAAGTTCAATAACCCTCACATTTCTTTTTCTTTCATGACTACAGCTAGTATATTAAGAACCAAAGATTAGCAGATCTGGGTTATCTTCTTCATTTATCTGAGGACGACACCTTGCATTTTTTTTTTTGCGTCTGCTGCCCGTGTTAGCTTTTCCAGGATTTGGAATATGAAAGGTAAACACTATTCTCCTCCAGGGGGTCTGGGGCCCTTTTTGAGGGAAAAAGAAAGGAACAGACCCAATTTTCTCTAACACTCATGTCGTAGGAGATGACTAATTACGTCTGTTTCCTTCTAAGTCGGAGTGCATCTGCCAGACAGGCAAGGAACCAACATCCTGCATTTAAATAAGCCAGATCTGTAAAACCAGTGCACACAAAAACTCAGGAACTGACACAAAGCCAGAAAGTCTAGAAATGGATGAACAACCAGGACTTTCAGCTGGTGAACGCAAATAAAAAAACACAGAAGCAAGTCTGACAAACACGATTAAAGAAGAAAATACAAACAAACGTGACGATTCAGCAACTCACCGTTCCTGACTGTGGCATGGCAAAAACATCAATAACACGGACAGTGTAATCATCAACAAACTCCCCCAACATCAGACCCATCACCTCCATAGGAACACCAGCACGGCCATGTTTTAACATCTGTCGTTGGGATAGAGGTCAAAAACAATGTCAAATATGTCATTTGTGTTGTTCTGTGTCAGCCATCTTGAGATATCAGAAACTGATGTTTCGGGTAAAGACTTCACAGAACTATGCTGAGAATTTAACCTGGTCAATACTAAACCTGAGGAAAACACAAAAGCCACAGTTCTTTCTTTAACCCACTTTGTGCCAGAAGCCACATTTAATGCCTCTTACAGGAATATGCACTGATGAAATAGGACAGCAGCAATCATGAAATAAAACAGAAGCAATCATTAAATAGGACAGTAGCAATTATCAAATAGGACAGCAGCAATCATGAAACAGGACAGAAGCAATTATGAAATAAGAGTGGCAATCATGAAACAGGACAATAAAAATCCTTTCTTCTTTTTGGCCAGCTTGTACAGCTTTGGTAATCACGTATGTTCACAGCTCTATCTCACTATCTGCCCGTTATTTCCTGCTCTGGTTGGTTAGTTATTTTGTTAATCCACAGATTATCCTCATTGCACATCAGACAAGTTCATAAGCACTTGGATTCCATCTCCAGTATATCCCCTCGGTGTGTGGTGACTGATAACACCAGTTCTGTGTTGGTTTACTATTCTCCATTGGCTATATGTGTAGTGTTCATCATCTTCTTGTTCTTCGCGTTCACCAGATGTACACTCTGGCGGAAAGTTCTGGTTGCTCGTCCACTACTGAACTGCAGTCCTGCTCCAGAACCTGAGTGTTGCGTGTGCATCAGTTTTACAGATCTCATTCTCTAGAATACAGACTGTTCATTCCTTGCCTATCCGGCAGATGCACTCCGACTTCAAAGGAAGCTCCCCAATTAGTCGACTCTTACGACATGCTTTTGGGGAGGCAGTGGGTCTATTCTTGTTTTCCTCACAATGGGGCCCCGGAACCCACACGGGGGCGTGTAGTGTTCATGTTTGGAGACACATCTTTTGACTTGAAGTTCTTGTAGTCTTTTTTGAGTGTTGCCAATTCAACAACGTCTTCTGAATCATCCTCTCGTCTGCCTCCTTAAGAGCACTAAAAATGTCCACCCGGTTCATGCTCTGGTGTTCTTTCATGCCACAATATCAAGCTATACAGCATCTCATTTCTGTATCAACCTTTCTACGTTCTTATTTTTATGGTTACCACGATGACACCTTAACATTTCTGAAGCTGTCATGACACCATCTTGTTTTCCCAATTTACCATAACCTCTACTTTTCCTGATTGTTATATCAAGTTTTCCTCCCTGTGGGTTATGGGGCCCATTGTGGGGAAAATGAAGAACAGACCCACTGCCTTTCAAAACACATGTCACAGTACATCTGCCTGAGAGGCAAGAAACCAACAGTCCCCATATAAATAAGCCACATATGTAAAACTACACAACACTCAGGTTCTGGATCAAGACTAAAGTTTGCAGGTAGACAAACAACTAGAAATTACTGCCGGTAAAAATGAAGAACAAGAAGAAGTTTAGCTTTCCAAATTATGATGACAAGTTTTTTGTTGTTGTTACCATAACACTGATTATTCCTAAGTGTCACAATATTAAAATGTCCCAATTATCATAATTTCTAATCATCCTAGTTATGGTAATTACTAATTATCATAATTATTATTTTCTGATTATCACAGCTTCTAGTTTTCTGAATTATCATAGCTTCTAGTTTTCCCAGCAGTCACCTCTCTAGTTAAAAAAGAGACCACAGTCAGACTTTTGCCTGAATTCGCCCAAAGTGTATTTCCTCTAGCCTCTTCTTTGTTCGCCAGCTGTAAGATCCAGCAGAAAGTCTTGGTTGTTCGTCCATTTGGATTCTGGCTTTCTGGCCCGAGTTGTGCATGTACATCAGTTTTACTGGCGTATTTGTGTGCAGCTTGTTGTTATTTGCCACTATGGCAGATGCACTCTGACGTCGAAGTATCTCCTCAATTAGTAAACACCTACATCATTCTTGTTGGGGAAGCAGTGGGTTTATACTTGTTCCCCCCCCCCCCCCAATGGGGTCTAGGACCCACATGGGGATGCTCTAGCTAAATCCCATACAAAGTAACAGATTCTATCTACCTTTTCACTGGTTCAGTGATGGAGCAGTTTTCACTTGTTGGAACCGTGACTGATAACCTGTTATATCTACCAGTGGACATATTTTCTTTCCTAACAACTTTACTAGGGCAGAAGTCTGAAGGTTTCAAAATGTAATATCTTCTGTAACTTTTAACATACTAAGCTTGCAGAAAGAATATTCTCATTTTATCAATGAACATACAAGGTAAAGCATCCAATCTCACTAATGAAAACAATCAGGGAGGTATGTTATATCCTTTGAATCTAAAAGCTCTTATAAAAACTGCCTGCCCTATATGGGGATTCACCTTGGAATTTCTCAGCCATGTTAACGCTGATTTATAGAACAACATACGTAACCCAGTTGCCACGTAAAAAAATCTTATCAAAGAACAACAGAACCCATCAACCATGTTAACTTTGATAGACAGAACAACAGAAACATCTACTCTACCTTCAGTAAGGCCAAAGATGAGATGTAGACTTGTTCAGCTGTGTCAACAACTGGGGCATCAGTTGGAGGAGAGCCCTGTTGAAATAACAGTGTATCACAATCAACATGACATGATAACAGCTGGAACAGTTTTACTCATCTGTACATGTGAATACATACAAAATAGGTTCACACAGTAGATATTGCCATCTAAATGTGAAGAGTTAGGCCTTCCAATAATCCTAGGAGCCATAATGGCATAGTGGCCAGCCGTTCACCTGTTGGCTCGAATGTCTAGGATTTGAACCCATTTTTTTTAAACTGACCTTGACTTCCCAGTGTAAAATGGGAGCCAGATAATGTCATGGAAAGCAAAAGTGGCCTGCACAGTGCTAACCACATTACCCATCACATGCTGATACATAAAAAAAAAATATAGGTATAGCCCTATATGCTTGAAGCGTGGCACAAAAAGGGACACCTTTACTTGACTTCACTATAATCTACACCAGCGTTCCCGACTATTTTGTCTTGCAGAGCCCTTTACAGAATCAAATATTTTATGGTGAAAGTAAGTAATGTTAAGATGTACAGGAAGAGGGGGTAGATAGTAAGGGAATTTAAAGTAAAGGGATACCTAAGCAATTTCACAATGTCCATGCAAATAAATTATATTTCAGAAACTTTAAAATTCATCATAATAGTACATAATAGTCTTTCTTAAATTATCACCAATATACATTATACTGTTGAAATTTAGCCATATTTTTCTGGAGCGGCTGCATGGCCCCTGCAAAGCAAAGCTTTTCTGACTACATGAAGCACCATTTGGAAACTGCTGATCTAGGCAATCTTCATGTTTATCGGCTGTAAACGCTGGCGAAAAAGTTCTGGTTGTTCATTAACCTCTGGACTGTAGTCTTGTTCCAGAACCTGAGTGCTGCATGCACATCCTTTTTTACAGATCTGACTCATTTGTATATAGACTGTTAGTTTCTGGACTCGCATGCAGATACACTCTGACTTTGAAGGAAGCCCCTGAATCTCAAAGGCAAGCATGGGACTGAAGATGCTTAAGTAATTTAAAAAAAAGAGTAATAAAAAGTTAATGTAATGACAGGCTGGGGTAGAAGAGATGAAATGAGAAATAAGACAGGAAGAATGAATGTAATGACAGGCTGGGGTAGAAGAGATGAAGTGATAAATAAGACAGGAAGAATTAAAGTAATGACAGGCTGAGGTAGAAGAGATGAAGTGATAAATAAGGCAGAAAGAATGAATATAATGACAGGCTGGGGTAGAAGAGATGAAGTGATAAAAAAGACATTGAGAACGAATGTAATGACATGCTAGGGTAGAAAAGAAGAAGTGATAAATAAGAGAGGAAGAATGAATGTAATGATAGACTGAGGTAAAAGAGATGAAGTGATAAATAAGACAGGAAGAATTAATGTATGACAGGCTGGGGTAGAAGAGATGAAGTGATAAATAAGACAAGAAGAATTAATATAATGACTGGTTGGGGTAGAAGAGATGAAGTGATAAATAAGACAAGAAGAATTAATATAATGACTGGTTGGGGTAGAAGAGATGAAGTGATAAATAAGACAAGAAGAGAATTAATATAATGACTGGTTGGGGTAGAAGAGATGAAGTGATAAATAAGACAAGAAGAATTAATATAATGACTGGTTGGGGTAGAAGAGATGAAGTGATAAATAAGACAAGAAGAATTAATATAATGACTGGTTGGGGTAGAAGAGATGAAGTGATAAATAAGACAAGAAGAATTAATATAATGACTGGTTGGGGTAGAAGAGATGAAGTGATAAATAAGACAAGAAGAATTAATATAATGACTGGTTGGGGTAGAAGAGATTAAGTGGTACATTAGACAGTAGTTGATATAATGACTGGTTAGGGCAGAAAAGTTCAAGAGAGAAATAAGACAGGTGTTAATAAAATGAATTAAATAATAAATATTATAAGTAAATATTTGCCTGTAGTAAGACTTAATCTTTGTAACAAAAGCAAAGACATATTCTCAATTACCTGGCCCAACCCTGGAACTCTTGCACCTAGACTCAACAACCTTTCCATGTTTTTTTCCTGCAATTAAAATGTTACAACTGATTAATGCTAGTCTCTCCTTTTCTACCCTTGGGGTGTGAAAGGCAGTACCATATCTGACACTGCCATACATTTGCTAAGCCATGATACAACAAAATGAAATAGTTTCCAGTTTCCTTTCTCACAACTATTCCTCCTCAAATGCTTCACAGAAAACTGACTGGTACAAATGAATGAACAAACTTTATTTTCATTTTAAAAGGGTTATAAATTATAAATTGAATGGAGAACTGCTGTCCTGCATTCACATATGGTTGCCCTCAGACAGGGTACATGGATCTCAGAACCATGCAAGATTGCCCAGGACTATCCCATAGTTTTACAATTTCACCAGTGCTCTTCAATGTGTATACAAGCAAGATTATTATACTTGAAGCACCAGGGACTGGAAGGATATTAACACTTGCAGATGGTGAGCTTGTATATAGACGGGGGAGCAATATGCAAAACTGCACAAGAGTAACTGCAGACTACTGGTGTGCAGAAATGGGTGCCATCAAACCAGAAAGGCTGCTATTTTATGGTGCTCTTTTGACAACAGAATTGTAAGACTAGGAAGCGAAGATGACCACACAATGATAAGACCGCAATGTGCTATGAAACTAGCCAGGAAAGCTCTCAGGCCCCAAAAAATGCAAATTATTCCGTCCCTGTGTGGGATTAATTTTTTTTTTTTTTAATTCTTATTCTTTGTGTTCACTAGCTGCATAACTCTGGCGGAAAGTTCTGGTTGTTTGTCCACTTCTGGACTGCAGTCCTGTTTCAGAACCTGAGTGTTGTGTGTGTATCCGTTTTACAGACCTGACTCATTTGTATGCAGACTGCTGGCTCCTTGCCTCTCAGGCAGATGCACTCCAACCAACTTCAAAGAAAGCTCCTAACTAGTCGACTCTTACGAGATGCTTTTGGGAAGGCAGTGGCTGGTTGTTGCCAGAGACCCTAATATAACTTAACGGTTGAACGAGGTTTCTGGGACCTCTCCTTGGGTGATCCTCATCCGAATGGTGGCACTTTGTGTCACTGCATGTTTATCACTCAGTGTGATGTCCTAGTGGGGTAAAAAGTCAGACAGACAGGCAAAAAAATATCTGCAGAAGTAGGATGTGTCAGCCAAAAGGCGCAAATATAGCGGCCATATTGTAAATGGGCAAAACACATTTATGTCTTTGGATGAATGCAGAAGAAGAAGACATTCTGCCTGTTCTTCTTCTTAGCATTTACCAGCTGTAAACTTCAGTGGAACATTCTGGTTGTTCGACCACTTCAGGACTTTGGTCTTGTACCATGCATTTTGTTGAGTGCATTTTATTTATCGTGTAGGTCAATTTATTTTTAAGTGCACAAATAGGTGACAAAAGACACTGCTGCTAGGCAGGTATAGAAAATAGTAACAAATCAGGAAACCTGTTAACAGTATATAATTATAACAGATAATAACTAGAAAGCCCTATTATGGAAACTAAATCACAAAGCTGTTAGTTGTCACAATAATAAATATGACACTCTGAGGAGAGGCACACAAGGAGATCATAATGAGTGACAGGCAAAAAATAGTTTAGTCCCCATCTGCGTCGCGCGTAGCGGCGCGGAGGATACACTCGGCGGTGGGGCACACTCGCAGAAGCAGGTCGGCAAGTAACGTATCGCCGAGACCCTGTCAGAGCATTTGTTTCCTTATCCGGAGCCGGCACATATAGTTTTAATAGAACTGACCCGCATTCGGATATTTTTGGATATTTTATGGCAAGAAATTGGCCAATTTAGCTCTCTTTCGAACGTCATCATATTAAAGCCGCCATTTTGGGGGTTGATTCAAAGGAGAGCCCATTTTATTAAGCCAGCATAACATTTATGATAATGATAAACTATTAAAATTGAATTAACACAACGTTTTCGTTACTTTCTCGTGTATCTAGATCAATTAACATGACCGGAAATAACTCACTTGGTATACTAACTCAGTAACAACAGTATGACTGAGCATAATTACATAATTACATAATATAATGATAAAATAATTGTCACCATTGTGATTGTCTTTATCGATAACTGGTTGTTGCATATAAACAAACCGTGAATCACCATCAGTTCAGCAAAACGAATACATTTCATTCAAAAGGCATGCACAGAATTGATAAAACATAGCGAAGTTTAACTGTATAAGGTTAGGAATTAACTTCCAGGTAAAATCAGCAACGTACGAACCTTATTTATATAATCCTGTTGTTTCTATAAAAATGTAGTACCGGTAGCCTCACGATTTCTCCGAGTCATCTGGGCAGACAATCTAAACTTTCAACTCTGAAGAGTACTTTATTGGACTGACTGGGCAGCGCGAGCTATCGTCCTTACCAGCACAGAACAGCACATATCATGTCGGCGTCGGCGACCGGGTCGTCTATTTACTTGCTGGTAGACGACTTCGTCGCTGGTCTGGGTCTGGCCTCTCTATGTCTCCTCCATCAACACTGCAGGAGTCCTTTTCAGGGCTCTTGGTGGCGGGCAATTCTAAACCATTGTATATGGTGCACATAACCTAGTTACAATTATAACCTAAAGCTCCCCCTTCGGGGATACTGGTTTAATCAAGGCTTTCTTCAGTACGGAATTTAGAGAAAGCCTTGGTTGCACGGACGATTTTTTTCCCAGCAAAGCGTCTACCTACACCTGCACACAGGACTACATATTACAGTTGGTTAGTGTTACCATTACGGGTTTCCTAATAATAATTTCTTTTGGAGGTTGAATGGGGTATCTGGGATCTATCTTGCTAGTCTGTCGTCCAGATTAAATTCTCAGGATGTTATGGTCAACCTTCAGATAGTAGTTCGGAGGAGCTAAACTGATCGATCGATCGGTCCAGTGCAAGTATGGAGGAATAAATTCATTCACTCGTATTAACTCTGACTCAAAGATATACCGACTTCCCTTCTGAACAAATAACGAAGTGACTTTTAGTTACAGGCTCGACCCCCCCCCCCCGTGTTTTTTTGTGTGTAATCCCCCCACACCCCATGACCAATAGGGCATGTCCTAGATACCTCCTTTAACCTCCGAAGAAGTTATCATTGGGGAAAGCGTAACAGTTACACCAGCAACAGTTACACCAGCCTGGTGTAACTTGCAGTCCAATGTGAACAAGGAATATACTCCACGGGAGCTATGTTGTACAGCTTTTATTTCCCACTCCAAGATCAGAAAGCAGCTGATAGTTCAAATCTAATGAGAGGCTTACTTTTTTTATTTATTTTTTTATTCTTGTTAACTAGACGAATGATCCAGTCTGTGGATAGAAAACAGCATAAAAGAAGAATTCCAGGGCCTTGAGCAGTCTAAGTCCCCGTTGTGAATCTTTGGCCCAACTGGGGGAGAGGGCCACATAGCAAGAATGTCGTCAAAGGTGACTAACTGGGTGTTTCCTTCCGAGTCAGAATGCATTACGCACTCTGTCGGAGAAGCGGAGAAGCAACGTGCTGAATATAATTTGGCCAGATCTATAAAACGGATGTACATGTACAACTCTGAAACAATAATAAGGAGGCGGAAGAGGCATAGATATAGAAATAGAAGAAGAAGAAGAAGAAGAAGAAGAAGAAGAAGAAGAAGAAGAAGAAGAAGAAGAAGAAGAAGAAGAAGAAGAAGAAGAAGAAGAAGAAGAAGATGAAGAAGAAGAAGAAGAAGGAGAAGAAGAAGAAGAAGAAGAAGAAGAAGAAGAAGAAGAAGAAGAAGAAGAAGAAGAAGAAGAAGAAGAAAGAAGAAGAAGAAGAGGAAGAAAAAGAAAGAAGAAGAAGAAGCAACAGCAGCAGAAGAAAAAGAAGCAGCAGCAGCAACAACAACAGCAGAAGCAGCAGAAGAAGAAGAAGCAGCAACAGCAGCAGAAGAAGAAGAAGAAGCAGCAGAAACAGCAGCAGAAGAAGAAGAAGAAGAAGAAGAAGAAGAAGAAGAAGAAGAAGAAGAAGAAGAAGAAGAAGAAGAAGAAGAAGAAGAAGAAGAAGAAGAAGAAAGAAGAAGCAGTAACAGCAAAAGCAGCAGCCTCCCAGTTGATCAAAACCGTTAGGTTTGCTTTTAAAAAAAATACACCTAATGATTGTTACACTGTAGTGATTTTACCACATATTTTGCACTGACTAAATTGGATGTCTATGACATAATTTTATATACGGGCTAATAAACTAGTGATAATTTTGTGTGTATACCATATTAATGTATATTTTTTTTAAAAAATTTATACATGTTAATATTGCATATTTGGAGTTATCTACTATGTATTCAGCTAGATTTAATTGCTTCAATATAAATAACAGTTCTAGTAAATTACAAATTACAGTTCTCGTAAATAATTCTGCATTATTGTTGATAGTCGGTAAATGAATAGCGATGCCGAAGCTTAGCTGAGGAAAAGGAGGCGTAAAGTAAATGACGATAGAGGGGTGTTTGCATCCTAAATACAGACCTGGTAGTAGCAGTAGCAGCAGCAGCAGCAATAGTAGTAGTAGTAGTAGTAGTAGTAGTAGTAGTAGTAGTAGTAGTAGTAGTTGTTGTAGTAGTTGTAGTAGTAGTAGTATTTGTAATAGTAGTATTAGTAGTAGTAGTAGGAGGAGGAGTAGTAGTAGTAGTAGTAGTAGTAGTAGTAGTAGTAGTAGTAGTAGTAGTAGTAGTAGTAGTAGTAGTAGTAGTAGTAGTAGTAGTAGGAGTAGTAGTAGTAGTAGTTGTAGTAGTAAGTAGTAGTAGATGAAAGCTTTTTTCTTAAAAAATAATGCCGGTACTACTGCAACAATTCGGATTTTTTAAAGGTGCCGGTACTCATCACAAAATGTCTATTGCAGTAGTACTAAAAAAAAATGACCAAACAAGGTGCTGGTACTGTGTACAGTTGCGTACCGCCTAAAAAATAGCCCCGGTACTAATATTAGTAGCAGCAGCAGTGTTGGTTGTGGTAGAAACAAAAGAAGTAGCAATAATAGGAGTAATAGCAGCAGTAGTAGTAATAGTTGTAGTAGCATTAGTAGTAGTACCAGCAGCAACAGTAGTATTAATTGTAGTAACAGTAGTAATAGTAGTAACAGTAGTAATAGCAGCATCAGTACTAGTAGCTATATTAATAGTAGCAGTAGCAGTAAAGATGTTTGTAGGCGACTTAACAGCGACATTTGCGTGAACAAGCACAACCAGAGAGAGTCGCGTATCTGGCTGTGCCGGTGCTCGGTTCATTTCCTTTTTTACGTTGTTCGTGGTTGGCACAGGACGAATTAGCACACGCGTACGGTAGAAATATAATTAAATGTGCTTAAAAACTACAGTTGTTGGCTGATATAAACTGTTAAATTGACATATAGACCAATAAAATTGTTTAAAGATTACCTGTTTTGCTTTTGTTGGTCTGTGTAGACCTTGTTTTTGAACTTTGGAAACTTCTTTTACGGCATGTTTAGTTCATTGGTCATCCACTGGTGATGGTTGTTTGCTTAGCAGACGAGGCATCGACTGACTGGACCCCTTTAGATTTTATATTTTGTAACTTAATGATTTTATTTGCTTGTTCATCTGTGTTAGAGAAAGAAGCAGCAACATTCTTCATTTATCCCACCACTGTGCAATTAGGACATGTTAAAAGTGCAAATTTGTTGTCCCCGTCATGAGTCATGGTTAAAAAGATGGGCTCTCCTTTTAACTTCGGCCGGTTAGTCGGAGTTTTCTCCCCTGGCTACAGTGCTATTACGACTGGAGAAGGCACGAATCCAAACACAAAGTGAGCTCGACGTTCCTTGCAGACCCCGCGCTGCGACATAAATTAGCGACCGCGTTCAATTACCACTTCTTGCGACACATTCTAGAGGGGACACAACAGGTGGCGTAATTACTGTGTGTTGGCGATAGACAGCGTGCTCTGCCCTGCTATGATCGTACGATTAGGGTTTGGGTTAGGGGTAGGGTGTGGGTTAGGATTTGGGTTGCTACTTTAAGTTTGTGCGAAGACAGATGCGGCGACACTAACCGTAACCCTAAACCTAAACCACACCCTACCCCTAACCCTAACACAACCTAATCATCTGACCATAACAGGGCAGTGCACACTGTCTATCGGCAACACACAGTAATTCTGTCATTTGTTTCGTTTCCTCCTGTCCAGTCCGTAATAGCACTGTAGCCAGGGGTGAGAACTCCAACTAACCGTCCGTCTACATTTGTCTACCGGCCGTAGTTGAAAGGAGAGCCAAAAGACGTATGTCGCGTAATGCTGACCACACCAACCTAGGGCTGATTGATCTGTAAAAATAAGGGTGCTCTTCCCATATTCACGATGCGCCTAAAATCGTGAAAAGGATCTTTACTTATATCATGGTCGCCCGTTTAAATTAAGAGCAAACACAGAAGAAGGACTGTTCCTGTGTTAGTTTTTTTGGCTATCCTCCTAATATCGAGGCTGAAAATATACCCTAAACAGGGCCTCAGTCACATGTAAATTGCGGACTCTTTCAGGTGACTACACTACTACACAGCATACTGCCAAATGCGGCGCAGACTGGGGCTAAACTAGATGGCTGGGACTCATGAGCAAATTAACTAAAGGAAGCTGCAGGAGATGAGGTAGCTGCTGCTCGTGAGTCCCAGGCATCTAGTTTAGCCCCGCTACATGCTGTGCGGGAGATACTCTCAACAGTGACTTTAACTCGGCGGAAGCTTTTATGCGGTGTAGTCGCCAGAAAGAGTCAGCAATTTACATGTGACTGAGGCCCTGTTTGGGTATATTTTCGACCTCAATAATTTGGAACCATTATTCGAGGATAGCCGTCTTCTCATTTCTTAATTGCAAATATATCTTCTTTTGTACCCTGGCACTCCTATTCTCTAATCTCTGTTATTGTTATTAATATTATGTTCTCATTTTGTTAGTTCTAGGCTCTAGCTGTAATAGTTAACCATATTTTTGAATGCCTTTAAAATCCTCTGCTAGATTTTGGATTATGATTTTATAATTCTGTTCCATTGATTGGTTTGTGAGCTGAGGCTGAAAGTTTTGCAACAATGGCGTGGCAACAGTTTTGAGGGAGGTTGTGCTTTGGTACTATCAGGCTGGAGAAAAGTCTAAAATACCTATAGACTTTGCTGCAGTCCTTTTTCGTGGCTCAAATGACCTTAATGTCTTCATTTTCAGTGAAGACTTTCTTCTCAGGTCATGCCTTTAATCCACTATGGGTCATAAAATGTTAGCTGGAGATTTGTTAGGCTTCTGCAAAGCTTATTTATCACCACATATTGTTTTGCAGCTCTTCCAGTAGAGAATTGTCTTGCAAGCATACCAGAATGTCTGCACTAAACCTTTAACAAGTTCAAGTCTTCAAATTCACCCACCAATACCAAACAACCATAAATTACACCCCAAAAAAAAAATCTGCTTTTGCACAAAAACAACATAACTGTGGTCTGCTAGGCCACACTTTTCTGCAAATAAACTCTTGTTCATCAATAAAATAAATTGTTTACGTAAATCTGTCACTGCCTACTGTCTATTTGATTATCTTAGAAATTAATTTCTTTTACAAGGTTTCAAGCATGGCTCCAGTGCTGAATAAAAATAGCAACAAAGACAAAGGAACATAAAAATAGCTCATCATCACTCAGCAGGACCTTTACAGAATGTAACTGCCATCATGGCCTACTTGAACTTTTCTAGCAAATTCTCCAGCTCTCTTTGCTTTCATAGCCAGTGCATCATTAATGTTTGGTATCCACATTCAGAATCAGAGGTCTGCCTCTGAAATATTTTCTCCAGGCCACCATGGTGTTTGACATGGCCTAGGAACCTCAGCTTTCAGGATAACATAACATAATCTTTGACCCATTAGGGTCGTGGAGGTGTATTGATTGAAGCACTTGCACATAAAACCGGCCATCTTTTTCTGTCTCCTGCTTGATGAATAAGTGTATGATAACTGAGTCCTGTCCATTTCTTGATGTTATTATTCCAAGTTCTTTTCCCTCCTCTTCTTCGACTACCACACCCCAGACAGGATGCTGATTATGAGCCAATTCTCTTCGATGCTCAGATCATGTAGGATGTTGGCGTTGTTCTTCTTCTTGGTCTATGGTATTTTAAGAATGTTTCTGTAGCATTTCAGTTTGAAAGCTCAGATTTCCTTTCTTTATTGATTACGAGTTGAACAAAATAACTATATTAGGAATAATATGTAAACATTTACAATAAAAATGTAATTTTTGCTTATTACAAAATTATAATTAGTGTCGAATCTTCAGTACAGCTGTTGCAGCCAGCGTTTACTGAAGATGGGTATGGAGCGCTTATGAGTTGATTTTTAACTCAAGACAGTAGGTCGTTCTTAACTCAGGGAATCTCCGCGATCCTCTCTGAAGATGATTTCAGGTCACAAGTGCTGCTTATCTGGGATCTCTATGTTGTCACTAGAGCTACTGAGTTCTCACATTGTGCAGCACTTATTAGACAGCTAGCTTGCTATATCGAGGGATACCAAGCCAGTTAGGATGAAACTTGTTGCAGTGAAGTCAGCCAGCTTTAGCCTAACTTAAACCTGTAAACTCCCTTTTGGGGTTCAGCTAAGGGAAAAAATATACCCCCTGCCTGTCTTTCCCCTCCCCCCCCCCCCCAACAAAGGTATCATACGAGGTGACTAATTAAGAATGTTCTGTCAAAGTGCATCTGATTGAGAGTTGAGGAACCAACAGTCTGCATGTAATTAATCCAGATCTATAAAATGAATGTGCTTGCGAAACGAATGTTATAAATACCTTGGATGGCCAGAGTAATTAAAAACAATTGCTTTAAATAAGCTAATGAAAGTAGATCTCTATATACAACAATGAGAAAACACTATTCTTTGGCCACATAATGAGAACATCGTGACAACTGGAAAGATCAGTGGAAAAGGGTGTAGAGGCAGACCAAAACATACGATGCTAGTTGGGCTAAAATGATGGCATGGAGGGATATCATCAAGAGAGTTGCTCCAGGCAACCAGGGATTGTGATCTGTGGAGACACTTGAACTTGCCACCAGGGTTTGCAGCTGGTAAAAATAAAGTAGTAAATGTACCTGTAAACTAAAAACTATTTGAGACCTCTGAAACATACACATGTCTAGGTGTTTCCTGTCAAAAGGTTTTATTTTCCCCTAGGATTGGTCTCTCACCACAGAGTAGCTGGCTGCTTTGAGGGCACACAAGAATACTTTAGGGTTCACTAATCAGTTGAAAGTTCTTTTTCATCTGGGTCATTGATAGTTTTTAGGCATACAGGCTTTCTCTGCAACTTTAAAAAAAAGTGCACCACTGATGACTGCGTTGTTTTTTAAAAGTCTACATTCAAACATGCATACTGACATTCCATACTTTCTACTTTCAGCCATACTGTAAAGAAAATGTCCAGTCCACTTTTGTTAGAAAATGTTTGGCTACAGCAGCAGAAGTTCGAAGATGCGGAGCTGTTGTTTAGGGAGACTCAGTCTGGTGTCAACAACTCAGGACAGGTACCAGTTATTTTCTTCTTGCAACTAAATATATGTTTTAGCCACTTGTCTTTGAAAATTTCAATTTTATTCCAGGGCAGAACAGACCCTTAGACGGATGGCAGCTGGTCTAGGAGGGACATTCTTTGACTTAACGGCCAAAATGGATGCTAGACAGGGGCACTGTTTGGAGCCGAGGCAAATTTTTTGCTTCTGCCTGATGTGGCTGATGCATTTTTGCTCCATTTGTAGAATGGATATAGTTTTATCGCCCAGTTTCTGAGTTAAATGCATGGTGTGACACTGTGAGCTGCAGATTTCATTTTGAATGTTTTTTCGACTGTGACCAACGTGGTGTTGTGAATTGTAGATTCAGAAAATGGCGTGATGCCTGTAGTTGCATTGTTGGTGGTGCCCGTTTGTGATTAAAATTGATCACGCGGACAACTGCTGATCTGTTGGTGACTTCTGCTACCATCAATGATGAACTGCATTTCTAATGTCGGACTGTTTGTGCTAGCACTTGGGATGGCTACCGTATGCTTTAATGCGTGTGTATGCTAGATATGCTGAGACAGCAATCTGTCAATCTTTCCACAAGGGACTGTGATAAACATTCTGTGTGTTTTTCGTTGGCACAGGAGCGGAGCAATGATGGGGTGACCCGTTTGCCATGAAGTTGAAACTAAGACTACCGGACTACATTCTGACAGGCGAACAGACCAAGCATTTCTCTTTTTTGATCCAGCAGCTTTTGCAGAATGCTTTGTTTTAAACACGCTGGTGTTACCTTTCCTTTAGAATAAACAAACCATTCATAGTGGAGGCTGCCTGTTGTGATTTCCTGAAGCATGTTCATGTAATATAATGTAATCACCTCATGATAGTGATGTGATCAGTGTCACACTAGCTGCCTTTACATCCTGGGACATTTCCTGGCACACAATCTGAGTCTATCTGGTAGCCAAGGTAAATTATATTTTTTTAATCCACGTGGATGTGGATATGAAACCCAAGATATTCAGGCTGCAGGCAAACATGTAAGTGGCGTCCGTGGTTTAGGTGTTGCGAGTCCGACTCATAATTCCAAAATACAGCGATCGAAACCCACTGCTGTCTGTAGATTTTTATCATGGTATGGGGTGTCGCAGATCGACTCGGCCTAAAATGGGTACCAGGATGGCTGTCCTGGGGAAGTAAAGACAGCCGGCCTAATGCTGACCACATTATCCACCTAGTGCCGATGGTCTGTAACAATATAGGCGCTCTTCCTGAATACCCAATAACGCCTAAAAGGCGTGAAAAGACATCTTTACTTCTTTACCTAGACAAGCATCTAACCCTGTACTGCCTAAGTTTCCTTCACCAAGTAGTCAGTAAAGGATTACACTGTATACCAAGACATGGATATATTTTTTTTTCTTCACGTTCGTCTAATCTCCCTCATGCCTCAGAACTTGAGTTTTGCATGCACATCTGTTTTACAGATGTAGCTTTTTTTCTGCAGACTGTTGGTTCCACGCCTTTCAAGCATGTGCATTCTGACTTCTAAGAAAACACCCCTGAATAGTTGGCCTTTACAGCATGCTCGTTCGGGGGACAATAGGTCTGTCCCCACACCCATAATGCGACTCCCACACGGGAGCACGGAAATTAACTTTTCATGTGACCTTTATTTAGCTTTTGGTAACAGGCATAGGTATTCATGGTTCGCCCCCGCATATGATTACCTATATTAAGCCGGTATTAATATTCTTTCCCCCCAAAAAAGCGATGAAAACTGTTCCTAATATTTTTTACCACCAGGCTACATTTGCCAACATTTTTTTAATACAACTTTTTCTTTGTGAATTAAAGAGAGTAACAAACACCTTGGCCCAGGAAATAGCCCAGGTGAGAGAGGACATACAGAAAGTTTTAAATAAACAACCAGTCACACCGACAGTTGTGAGTATTATTGTTACTTTTAAGTTATATCACAGTGGTTAGTGTTGGGGTGGTGGAGGGGGGATGGGAACAGTCTGCATGTACATGGCAAAGTGATCAAACTTCTCACTCATAAGTTCAGTTCGCTAGAGCTCTGGAGTTCGTGCTTTGTGCGATGCTCTTGGCAGGTCTACATGTGCATGGCAAAGTGATCAAACTGTTTACTTCTCACTCAGAAGTTCATAGATTCGGTTCGCTAGAGCTCAGGAGTTTGTGGTTTGTGCAATGCTTTTTGCAGGTCTACATGTACATGGCAAAGTGATCAAACTGTTTACTTCTCACCCAGAAGTTCATAGATTCACTTCGCTAGAGCTCTGGAGTTTGTGCTTTGTGTGATGCTCTTTGCAGGTGGCTAGCCATTCTGCGGAGAAAGACTCTGCCATATAATATGGTGCAGTTAATGTTTTAATGTTAATTATGGTTAGTCCTTACGTTGATGGAGGCTACAGCTTCCAAAAAACACTTTTTTTACGCTTAAGCCTAACACTTCATGCCCTGTCAACGGTATCTGGTATAAGAGTGCCTTTACCTTTAAAAGTACCATGTATTCTAGTGTGTAATGAGCTTTGAAATATACCTGAAAATCTAACGTGTAATGTGCTGTCAAATACTACTGTACCAGAAAATCTAGCACATAATGTGCTTCGAAATATTACTGTACCAGAAAATGTAGCAAATAATGTGCTTTGAAATACTTTACCAGAAAATCTGGCATATAATGTACTTTAAAATTCTTCTGTACCAATAAATCTAGCATATAATGTACTTTAAAATTCTGCTGTACCAATAAATCTAGCATTAATTGAGCTTTGAAATACTACTGTACCAGAAAATCTATCTTCTTCTTCTTCTTCGCGTTCACCAGCTGTAAACTCTGGCGGAAAGTTCTGGTTGCTTGTCCACTACTGAACTGCAGTCCTGCTCCAGAACCTGAGTGTAGCGTGTGCATCAGTTTTACAGATCTCATTCTCTTGAATACAGACTATTGGTTCCTTGCCTCTCCGGCAGATGCACTCCGACTTCAAAGGAAGCTCCCCAATTAGTCGACTCTTACGACATGCTTTTGGGGAGGCAGTGGGTCTATTCTTGTTTTCCCCACAATGGGGCCCCGGAACCCACACGGGGGGAAAATTTATCATGTAATAAGCTTTGAAATATTGCTGTTACGGTATATCTGGTGTGTAATGTGTTTAGTACAATTTTAATTCATGTGTTGTTTCTTTTAGAGACTCTTTGATGGGTGTTCTAGTTATGCCATCCATTATCTACCCACCCATCTATCCCAGGACACACTCATTCATTCACTCCACCATCCACACATGCCGTTTTCCCATCTATCCCTTCATCGCTCCTTTACATTCTGGTTGTTAACAGTTTTACTCTCGGGCTCGAATGATTACTTTGTATAACAAGCATCTTTACTGTCTCTATTTGATAGCTGACAGTAACAGAAGCATCTTATCACGAGACCCCTGTTTTTACCTGATTCTATATATTAGCAATTCCATTCATCCACCAATATAGCCATCATTTACTCATCTACCCACCCATCTATCTCACCACCCACTCACCTCACCATCTACCCTGGCTATTTTTCCATTGCTCCCTTACATTATGTTTTTTAACCAGTTCAGTAAGACTGATACTTTGTATAACAATCACCCTTACTGTCTCTATTTCATAGCTGACAGTAAGTGAGAAGCATCGTGTCTTGAGACCCTTGTTTTTACCTGATTTTATATATCGGCCGATCCATCCATCTACTTTACTTTCCATCCATCCACGAGTATAGCCATCCATCATTTCGTCTATTTGTCTACCCACCCATCTATTGCACTACCCACTCATCCATACACCCTACAATCCATGATCTATCTAATCTATCTATCCATCCATCCATCTATCCACCCATCTATCTGTCTATATATCTGCCTGCCTGTCTGTTGGTATTTGTTCGTTAGCACAGGCACCACTTTTATTCCATGAGATGGACCAATGTCATCCCCACGACCCAACCCGGGTCACGCCTTATTGGCCACCCCCTCCCTCCCTCTTTAGACACTCAGTGTACGCTGTTTGTGGGCGTCTACTCCGTCCATTTCCTAGTTATAGTGTACCCGTTCTTTGCTCCCCGTCCGTGCGTTGGTGATAAATTTGCCAGTACCTGTCCTTGACATCCTTTTGAAGTAAGTTTTTCGCCAGGAACACATATCATTTATTGTGTACATTAGTCCCATGTAGTCACTTCATAGTTAGAGCATATTTGTGTATGTGTACTGTATTGTTCTTTATGTGCTGATGAAGGCTAATCGCCGCAACCTCCTTTGTTCGTTTATTGTGATCGACTTTGTAAAGCTAACATAAACTGTTTGTTGTTTCTTACCAACTTTTTTTCTTACCTATAATTTTCTACTCTTTTAAAAACTAGTTATGCCTCAGTAGAGCTAAAGGAATAACAAGAAAGGATAAAATTTAAAAAGAAGCTCAAAGATGGGTCAGAACCAGTCATACCTTTCATTTAACAGCAACAGATGAAATGGGTTAGCCATTTAATGAGAATATCATGGTAGTAACTGCCACAACAGAAAAAACACAAGAAAATAAACACAGAGCAAGAGGAAGACTGGAAAACAATGTTAGGAACAAACAGCCTTAAAGGAATAAAGACCAACTTACAGCACACATTAGAAAGAGCACAGAGGTGGTCCTCACATCTTACCCCAATGCTTTGTTGAGGTAACTGGAGAAAGAAAGGAACTGATTAATTTGGCTGAGTTTTCTAGTGTTGTCAAGTTTTTTTAATTCTTTGATGTTTATTGTGTGAGCTGATAAATAAACTGTGTCTCTTCTCAGGCTGTGGGAGGCGGAGTTGATGGTGTTGCTTTGTGCAGGAGGGTAGACCAATTAGAAAGTGAAAACAAAAAGCTCTTTGAAAGTAAGTCATTGCTAAATGTTTGTTGACTTCATGGAATAGCTTTTCAGACTAATCACTTGTTGAAGGTTTTTCATTTCGTAATCTAAGGAAGATTATTAGACAGTGTACTAACTCTCAAAGGATGGGAAAGCTACTGGTCCATGTGGTATCCAAACGGAAGCTATTAGAGTCACTGTAATCTCTCTGCCATCTGCACATTAAAATCTTATATGATGAACACTTCATAGGAGGATAATAGTTCTGTCTCTGAATTGTAAGTTCTGTTTGAAAGATTCTTCTACTACTACTTCTCATATCCCATTGAAGCAATAGTCCTCAGCCACATCGCCCAAGCCAATATATATATATATATATATATATATATATATTATCAGCCACAAATACTGACCTTTTGACCCTTAAAGAGTTTTGGGGTTACTTATCAGCATCATATGCTTTTTCTGATGGTATAGTATACACATTCGTACCTTTTTTGCAGATTTGGATCCCGTTTGTTCCGCCTCTTTTGTCTTGGTGGTTAGTAGATGTAATAAACATTTACATTTAGAGGTAAAAAAAAATTAGCCAAAATCTCCTTTTGTGAGTTATGGGGCCTTTTTTTTCAGGGCAAAAAAATAGGCCCTCTCTCCCTCTGTAAAACTGTCGTAAAAGACAGAGGTTTAGCTTTCCTTCAAAGTCGGATTACATCTGTCTAATGGGTAGGGAACAAGAACAGCACACAGATAAGCCAGTGAAGCGGATGTACACGCAAAACTCAGGTCCTGGTACAAAACCAGAATCCAAATGGAGGAACAGCCAGGACTTTCCACCGGAATTTACAGCTGGTGAATGCAGAGCAAAAGGTTTTGCTGAAATCATACCCCAGGTGGGTTTCAGGTTCCTTGAGAGGTGAGGAATCAACAGTCTGCATACAAATAAGTCAGATCTGTAAAATGGATGTGCACACAAAGCTGACATTCTGGACAAGACTATAATCCAGAAGCGGATGAAAAATCAGAAATTTCCACTGGAGTACAGCTGGTGAATGCAGAGCAAAAGGTTTTGCTGAAATCATACCCCATGTGGGTTTCAGGTTCCTTGAGAGGTGAGGAATCAACAGTCTGCATACAAATAAGTCAGATCTGTAAAATGGATGTGCACACAAAGCTGACATTCTGGACAAGACTATAATCCAGAAGCGGATGAAAAACCAGAAATTTCCACCGGAGTTTCATCCGGTGAACGTTAACAAAAAGAGCTGAAATCCAGTGTGTCGGACCACAAGGCGCAGAAATTGCAGCCCAGCTATGAACCACAACACAACATGCCAACTGTCCTTTCAAGGACAAAGAAGGAGAAGAGTCAAGCAGTGCCTTCTCCACAGTAAAGGCCGGCTGCAATGTATCTTCAGCATGTTTATCTTTTCTCCTGGACATACATTCAGACTGCTTTTATTCCATCTTTTGATGTTATCCTCCCCACTTGTATTGTTTACCTCTTGCTTTCTTACCCTCATCTTTTCCCTTTAGTATGTTTTGGGCAAGGATGCTAAATAATATAACAGCTCAACAAGGGATACAGATTTAACAGAAATGTGCCACATATGGAGCAGTTAAAAAGCACATTGTGCACTTTAGTTGTTTTTTTTCCCCAGAAGAATTAAAATCTTGTGTTTTCTTTAGTCACTCAGCAGCTGAAAGTTGAAATTGAGAGAGCCATAGCTGCCCTCAAACTGCCAGCTTCCTTAATCAAACCTCGGGAAACCTCTGCGGCTGCAGCTAAACCTGAGCCAACACCAGAACCTCAAAAGGCAGCTGCAGCAGCTGATGATGATGATGATATAGACTTGTTTGGGAGTGATGTATGTTTGCTATTTAATTATGTTTTTTTTTGTTTATTTAATATTTTTTTCTCTCAATTAATTTGTGTCTTATATTCTTTATCCTTTTTAACATTCACCCTTAAAAGGTTTGAAGGGTGTTTAGCACATTTTGTCTTGGTTTACAGCTTAGGTTGTGATATTTGCCCCTCTCGGCCCAGCACATCCGATTTTGCAAACCCTAAGTCTTTTAATTGTTATAGAGTAATAGGTCTAGTCTGTTTCATGATCCCCCCTCCGCCCCACAAATGGGAACTTGTAACACTCATGCAAGTATTTTATAAAATTAGTGGTAATTCTCTGGTATATGTGAGTTGTTTCTCTGTAAAGAAAGTCCGGTTGGAGTTATGCTGGTAGGGTGTGAAGTAAACTGTTTAGGTTTCATACATTCTAGGCCATGTCATATGAGGGTGGGGTGCTCACTCATGTCAGTATTGTATAACATTAGTATTCATTATCTTCTATATGTAAGTTGTTTCTCCGTAAAGAAAGTGCTGGTAGGGTGTGAAGTAAACTGTTAAGGCTTCATACATTCTAGGCCATGTCATATAAGGGTGGGGTGCTCACTTCCTTTTTTCATTCACTTTCCAATACAGTTCTGAAAACAATTAGCTGGTACCTATTCTTATGAGGCTGGATTTACTTTTGAGGTGGACCCCCCCCCCCCCCCCCCCCCCCCCCCCCCCCCAAAAAAAATTGGGTATCCTTTACAGGATGTTGCAGCACCAACCCAAGCAATTTGTGGTTTTTCTAGGCATATTTTGCGTTCAGTAGTTTGCCATTGCTTTCTGAACGGTAAGTTTTTGATAGCACTGTCGAAACCAACTTAAGACAAGTCGTCCGCAGCTGGAATTGAACCTGGGACCTCGGCATTACGAAGTACGTTTGCAACGCCTAACCCACAGGTGCTAAGGTGGAATAGGTGGGAATAATACTCCTACCAAAAATCTCAACAGACAGTAACATGAACTGCTATGCCACTTTGACCCCCCTTTGTAGTGTATTTTTCATATGTGAAATGTTTTTGTAGCTTATTTTCAGAGTTCATGCCAGAAGGTTTGTTTTCTTTAAAGCCATGTTTCACTGCAGTTCCATGTCCTGTTTCACAGACTCATTATGATTCCACAAAGCAGATGCTTTCCTGCCAAGATTATCGTACAAAACTCTGTTATTGGCCCCTTGGTATTCCAGAACACTAGCAATTATGGACTGGGCTGGTAGTTTTGAAATTGAACCCTCACACTTCAAATTCCAAGGCAAATGGCATAATCACTCCCTGTGTTTGTTCCGGGGCGCCATTTAGTTAGGGAAGAATAAATCACCTACTGCCCTTCTAACAAGCATATCATATCAGTTATTGGTGATTACTTTGAAGCCAGGTATACAGCTCTTCATTGTGAAGAGATCAGGTGAGTTGATCACTCCCTGGTGGTCATGGGTTTGTTTGACCTCCACCATTCAGTTCTCAAGTGAAGTTTGTATAGAGATCCCTGTGGATCTTCACTGGAACTATCAGTGTTTGTGCTTTGTGCAACACAAAGTGAACACCAGATGTTGCCGTTTGATGGACACACCCCCTTCTACTATAGATCTATTTCAAGATTTATCATTTTCAAGATTTTCATCATCATTCGCGCTCTCACTGACAGTGTCACTTCAAGAACGTATTCTTTATGAAATTATCACAGATAATGAATATATATATAAATCACAGAGTCTGAATAAACCAAAAGAACGATCACCTGTTGAACTGTGAAAAGCCTAGAACTTGGTTCATCAGCCGCTCGTTTCATTGTGAATTTTCAGAATTTTTCCACGTAAAACAACACAAATATAATCCAAACACACGAGGGCAGACATTTGCAATGTCTAACAAAGAGAATTGATAACGATTGGGTTGTTATTTTTAGTCCGTGACGCATCGTTTTCCCGTACTACGCAAAAAGCCTCGGTATTATGGATATCACAGATTAGGGCCAGCTGTATAGAGACAGGTTAAGAAATTCCCGGTAAACCGGGCCAGCGGTCTGGTAGGGTTAGGTCTGAATGCATCTGCCTGAGAGGCAATGAACCAACAGTCTGCATACAAATAAGCCAAATTTGTAAAACATATGCATACAAAACTCAAGTTCTGAAGCAATACCAAAGTCCACAAGTGAGTGGAAAACTAGAACTTTACATCGGAGCTTACAGCCGGTGAACATGAAAGATAAGAAACATAACCACATCTCTAGGCCTGCTGCTTGTGGGTTGCCTCCTTTCAATAACTATGGGCAATTAATTCACAAGTATAGTTGAGAGTTATTGCTCCATAGTTTACATTTTAATTGTAGATATCACAATTTCATAAAATGAAAGTAATATTTACTGGCTTTGCTGAGATGTGGAACATGAAGATGGATCTGGATATTGGTAAAATGGTGCAGCAAAAGTGTTGAATGCTGTCAGAAATTATTATAAAACTTATTTATGTTAGGGTAACAGATCATTGCCAAAGAGTGGTCCTAAAATAAATACAGTATTTCTTTTGTTTGGCCAAGCAATTATGAATAAGGGAAAAAAAAATTTTTTCTAGTATCCAGAAGCCATGAGTATTATGAGCCCTTAGGCTCAGTATTATGGATATCGCAACCTTTCAGCCTTGATTCCATGATAAATACCATAAATCTGGGAGAAATTTTGCTTTTCTGCCTACCCCATGGCATAAACCCGGACCACAAGGAGTTTGTCACCTGGTCACTGCTCAGTCCTGTTTAGCCAACTACGCTAGAGAACCGGGCATAAAGTGAATTATTTCCCTCCAAAAATGCAATGATGAAGTTAACTCTGACAAGTGAAGGGCAGGAATATAACAGTTTGGCTAAAAATGGATTCTATAATGTCTTGTAATTAATGGGTACAATGAAACCAAAAGCTTTTTATGATGAATAGAAAGATAAACTGCGGTCCCCGGTTTCTGTCCTTGACAAAAACTCAACGTTTAATTATAGGGAAGTCGCTGTGGCTTGACTCCCAGGTCAACCCAGCCTTGAGTGGGTGCCAGGTGCCGTCCTGGGAAGTAAAGGTGGCTGGCATGGTGCTGGCCACATCACCCACCAAGTGCCGATTGGTCTATTCAAAAAAAGGTGTACCCCTATATTCCCATTACTACTACAGGCGTGGAAAAGGGATGAAAGTGAAATCATGATAAAAGTGTTTCTTGTATTTTTTATTTGCAGGATGAAGAGGCCAAGGCACTGAAGGAAAAAAGAGTCAAGGAGTATGCAGAAAAAAAGGCAAAAAGTAAGTTTTTTTTTCTCCCTCTCTTGGCTGGTTGTGAATTTTCTAGAAGTGTTTAAACTGTCAAGTATGACGTATTGGTGTTCAGATCATCTTGGTCCAGAAATGGACTTGCCTATTTCAGAATGAAGATATATATCTCTGAAGGACCTGTGTTGCAGAGCTCTTCAGGCTCAGGCATGGGAGTGCTAGACCAATACTGAAATTTCAAATCTGTGAGAGGCATGTTAGGGTATAACCAGGCCATGTTTGGCACAGAACATCTAGACCAGCTTGGTCTAGGTTGCTCATCTTTAATTTCTGGGTCTCAGACGTTTCATTGTCAACAGACTTTAACTCGCTGCCGGAGGAGGCTGTGTCATCATTCAGTTTTAATGGTTGGTAAGAAATGTGTCTGAACTTACACTTGTCAAGTTAATGTGGTGGTTTCCCTGTGTCATCCACATCTGCGTAAGAGAGGTTACATACTTTAACTATTCTGTTAAAGGTAACTTTTTTTTAATGTTTACTGTTTGCCTGTGAATCCTGCTCTTTTCAGTATTGTACTTTGTAAAAATAAATTAAGACGGTTGAATATTTCCTGAATTCTGGGTGTAGAGAATTAAAACTATGAAATAGTGCATCACTAAAAAATAGGGAGCAAGGGATTTTGCAGAGAAAAAGGCATGTAGAAAAAGAAAGAATAAATTTTTAATCAGAACGCGTGGCGCAGTGATAAAAGGAGATACTCTAGCACCAACAGGCTCAGTGCTGTTTTGACGGATCCTTATGCAAGACTCCTGCCACAGTTCCTCATGCGCCATGGATAGTGGCCCACAGAATAGGAGCCCCTGTCAGAGAGAGAAGTCTGAGATGCTGAGGAAGTAAAATGTCAATTTTTTTCAGGGAACTGTAGTCTCAGATTTGCAAATTCCTAAAGGGCGCTACTCGGCAATGAGTGGGAGGCTGAATGTACAGGTATGTGGTCAAGCAGTCATGCTGATTCCTTGGGTGAACCTAGTACCAGTGCATCATGTTTGGGCTCTGCATTTATGAAAGCTTCTTTGGATGGTGGGAAATTCCCATGTTCTGCCACTGTCTTCCCTCGAGTGTCGACCAATTTGCACACTACCCTGGATGTTTTTTTCTAGGGACAACACCCGTCAGGGGGTAAGGAAGTCACCACATATGTAAGGCTACAGGTGTTCCACAAGACTAACTGGGAAGGCTAATCTGGATAACAGGTGACAGATGTCTAGGCCGAAAGGTGCAAATATTGGAGCTATGTTGAAACGGGCACCACATATTTTTTTGTCACGCAGCTCAACGATGAAAACCCATACAAGGCACTTTGTTCTTAATTTTTTTTGTCTTTGTCTATCTTCGTAGATTTACATTCTTACCATTGGTATTGTCGGCGTCTGTGGCTTAGGCGCTGCAAACTCGCTTTGTAATGCCGAGTTCGATCCCAGCTGCAGGCTGGTTGGTTTCAAAGGTGTTATCGAGAAGCTGACCGTCCAGAAAGCAGTGGCAAACTAAATTTGTCAAGAAAACTACAAGTTTTAAAATGCTAGGGTTTGGTTCTGCAACGTCCTGTAAAAGACACGCAGCTAACTAACTATTGGTATTGCTTCCTTCAGTGGATGAAAGTCTCTTTTGAAAGTATCTTAATTGCAGTCTTGTTCTTGTGTCAACATTTATTTAATGTAATGTTTGGTTTGAACAATCATTAATAAGTACGTGTATTTGCCTACAGAGCCAGTCCTTATTGCCAAGTCCAGTGTGGTGCTGGATGTGAAGCCCTGGGATGATGAAACCGACATGGTGGAGCTGGAGAAAAGAGTTCGTTCTGTTCAACAGGATGGTCTTGTCTGGGGGGCATGTAAGTATTTGTGGTCAGTGGTTTAGGAAGATTCAGGTGTTTTGATCTCTAATTGCAAGTAACAGTATAATTAGATATTTGTAATGACTAGATAAAATAAAGATGTTTTAAATCTTCTTCTCTTACTCTGTTACCACTTTAGGTGTCAGGAGTGATATAAGGTTCTTGTAGCTGCCTCAACCATAGACACATCCAGTTGTTCTATAGTTGTTCTGATATCACCTTTCCGTCTTGTTCATGGTCTGTCTCTTGCTCTTTGTCCCTCTCCTCTTGTGGAGCATACCTTGTATGACGTCGCAAGGCATTCTCTCTAACTGGACAAATCATTTATTTGCTGTCTATGTATGTCATTTAGAACTGCCTCTGTGCTGCTTTTTTTCTATCTCTTCTGGGAATCTTGCAGCCTATCTCAGTTCTCATTTCTATGGTTACAATTTTTTTTTTTTGGTTTCTTATGAGTGACCATGTCTGGTACTGGTAGAAAGGGATGGGAATAAACATGCACTGTGAGATATTTCTTTGTGCTGATCGGAATTGCTTTATGCTTTAATACTTGATTTGCTTTGCTGCATGTTAATCTATTCATCCATTTTGCCATCTTCAGTGAATGTTGTTCCCAGATATTTACACTGTGATGCCTGTTTAATACCTTTGCCCTCCGTTGCTATAGTTTTCTGATTCTTTCTTCTTTTTGACATTATTTATACTTCAGTCTTTTCAGTTGAACAGTCCATTTATATCTAATTGATTTCTCTTTAGTAATAATAAATCTTTTGTCAGCTTGCTAGGTCTATCGCAGTTTCACCCTAACCCCTGTTGGCCAGGATGTTCAGGATGACCCTTCATGGCTACCTTAGCTGGCTCATGTTACAAGGCCACACCGTGTCAATGATCGCTGTAAAAAAACGTGGAATGTGTTCATAGGCACTGTTGATAAAAGTAAATACTTCTTCTTTTAATCACAAAGCCTCCTTCCCCCTTGCAGACTGATAGATTGGCAGCCAGTATCTCACACTGCTATGGTTTAGGTGTCAGTTTTAACAGGAGCAAATTCAATAAACCCGTGATTCCCAAACAGCCCTGGGGATGCTACCTCTTTACAGGGGCACCGTGAAATATTGTAAAAGCTTCATGATTAATTTAACCAAGACACGAATAGTCATACTTTAACTTGGAATTTTTTTTTAATTGAAAAAGGGCGCAGCGACCAAGAAAAGTTTGGGAAACACTGCAGTAAACCCTGTGTTACCATATAAAAGCTATATTTTGGCTTCTAACAGTTGCGGAGTTGCCGAAGTTGCTGTACACTCTAACTGTGGATTGTCTCTTACCTACCGTCTTACTAGAAAGGAAAAAAATTGTATATCTTATATATCTTATAATCACTATATGAAGTGTAAAAAGTTGTGTTTTTAATTGATGTGTCAGTAAATATAGTTTATCTTTTGTTGCTGTTCATAAGTAGTAATAAAGTAATGTGCTTTTGGTTACTGTAACTGAAAGGAACATGACTGATCACAATAAAATATGACTCTGGTCACACAGTAAAAGTAAAACGTCTGATTACAGTAGCAGTAACAAGTCTGATCAGAAAAACAGTAATGTGTCTCTAATCGGTGTTTGTATCTGTAGAGGTAACACATACACACGTATGTATGTATATGTGTGTGTAATTGTTTACATGTTAACATATTAGTGACCAGGAGTGACCAAAGTCATCAACTGTATGCATTTTTCCCTTCACCAGCCAAACTGGTCCCAGTTGGATACGGCATCAACAAGCTCAGCATCATTTGTGTTGTGGAGGATGACAAAGTCAGCATTGAAGACCTTTCGGAGAGAATCACCGGGGACAATGAAGATTTGGTAATTTTCTTACAAATCTTAGTATATACATTCACACACATACATATGTATGTGTGTGTGTATATATATTTATATACACACACACATATATATGTATATATACATTTGTGTGTGAAATATATATAAATATATTTCTTTAGTTGATCATGAACAAATCTGAGAATTGGAGCCACACATGGCATGTTGATTGGTACAGATAAAGAACAGATACATGGTCTGTTATGCCCTGTTTCTCCCAGGGCTTGTTTTTAGGGCCTCATGGCTAATGCTGTTACCACAGTTTAGTTAGCTTTCTATTTTTGTCCTGACATAAAAACATCTGTTACCTTAACCAAGGATTTGAACCTAGGTCTTTTGAATGAGAGACCAGTGTCCATAGCCACTCTACCAGCTGCTTCTCCTGTATAGTGGAAGCAAAGAATTGTTAGTACTTTTGTGTCTGTCTGGACAATAGTTTTATATTGTCCTATTGGGAATCTTGAGGGTCAAAGCCCAGTTAAGGCCGTGGATGGAGTTTCCTTTCTCTCTCTCTAGCACAAAACCTAAACCTTAAGAAGAGGAAGATGATATATGTCAGCCAGTAATGTTACCACTGACATCAACATGGGACTTCTTGGTTGGTTACTAGACACCGGGATTTTTCTTCATCTTTGCGGTGGCCGCAACTCAAGGGTAAAACCCTAGTTGTTCTTCCAGTTCAGAGTTCAGGACATTAGTAGCATTCCAGAACTTGTTTTGCATGCACATCCATTTTACAGATCTGGTTTATTTATGTGAAGACTGTAGGTTCCTCGGCTCTCAGGCAACTGTGTTGTGATTTGAGAGAAAACATTGATCCTAACTTTACCGAACAAAACCCTTTTTTGGAAACCTGTTTATAGGATAACTGTTGAAGGCTGTAAATAGGTCCCAGCCACTATCAACACTGATCCTTCTGCATCCTACATCGCAGTCATTAATGCATGTATTATATTACAGACAAAATCAGTGAAATTGACCCTCAAATCATTCAAGACCTCAGTCTTTGATTCATATATTATATTACAGACAAATTTAGCAAATTTGGTTCTTGAATCATTCAAGACCCAAGCCATTAATGCATGTATTATATTATGTTCAAATTTTTCTAAATTTGACTCTTGATGTATGTATTATATTAACTTCTCAGCTAGTAAACAAATTTGTTTGTTGTTTTCACGTTTAACCTAATGTGATGTGCTTTATTCTTCCAATCTCCAGGTTCAAAGTGTTGATATTTCTGCTTTCAACAAGATCTAACAGCCTCTGACTTAGTGCCTAGTAGTACTTGCTGAATTTATAGTACTATAATAAATCTGTCAACATTTCTGTCTTATGTTTTTGTCCTGTTTTATATGTGAAAACTTTGCTTGTGTAAGCTACTTAGGACTCGAGAGACTATGAAAAGAAGAGGCATTATGTATAATTAAATACCAAGAGGGAAACAATTGCTCAACAAAACTATATAGAATCTTAAAAGGAAAAGAAAAACGCTGTCTACATTTACCACTTTTTAGGTGGTGAAGATTATGAGTTTGGAGCCTGAGGGTTCAGGGCTGCATGGCTGCTTCAGTCACCATGAGAAGTAGAGTAGGATTTGGTTTTTGCCTCCAACACGGAAAAAACCCGCTAGTTACCAAGGATTTGTACCTGGATCTCTTGAATGAGAGCCCAATATTCTAAACCGCTCAGCCAGCTGCTCTTCTGGTGTCTCTAAAAAAAAATGTATTTCTTCTACTTTGTAATATTCAGCAGCTGTAAACTCTTATAGAAAGTCCTGGTTGTTGTTCTTCTAAACTTTGGTCTTGTTTCCAGGGTTTGAGTTTTATGTGCATATCCGTTTACAGGGCTGGCTTATTTGTGTGCAGACTGTTTGTCTGGTCCCTTGCCTGTTAGATACATTCATACTTAAAAGGAAACACCCCTAATTAGTTGTCTTTTCATGTATTTCATGTCACAGTCTACCCCCTCTCTTCAGCAAATATATAGATGACTTGGTTGCCCCATAGGAATGCTGGTTGAACGTGAGGATCTGTGTCCCAGCTAATCACCTACCCATCTACCTAGTATATTTGCTATTTTGTCACCGCCTCAATGACAACACCCTGGGCAGCGTGCACCTCTCTTTCTATGCCACTGTGTACAGCACAGGATGAGACTGAACAGGGGTGATGTCATAAATGCCAAGCCTGCTGGATATCGCAAAGACGACGACAACCAGCAGGTCTCAGTATTCTTGTACATGGGGGGTGCAGGCTGATTGGCCACATATGAACATTTCAACAAGGGCATAAGCAAGGTGTCTGGTTAATCAACACAGATCAGGCTTGATCAGTCATTTTCCTCTTCTGGAGCTATTGAGAATATTCTGGGGCTGCGTGGTCTCGAGGTATGGTATCTGCTTCGAGTGCTAGAGGTCTCAGTTAAGGCTGGGATTTTTTCTGTTTACGTGGACTTCTAGTAATTTCTCTTGGTCTCTGGCTAGTGAGATTGGATGCCCGTGTGCATTGTTGTGCACGTAAAAAAAATCCCTTGGCAGTTGGAAACCGAAAAGAGCAGCCTAATGACACTGACCGGGCAAAATTTGGGGTTAAAAAAACTACCTAAAATATTAAAGGATCCTCGCACACGCTACGGTGGCCTTTCACTGCGCTGAGCTACTTCAGAAGATAGAAGAACAGAGCACTTATGGGTTATTACAGGTTACTACTGCTATGATGTTGATCCGTTCTTCAAATTTGAGGAGGATATTGGAATACTTGTGGATCTATCCGGAGTGCTCATGTCATGATATAATATAAAGCGATTCTCAAGCGACTTACAGACTTTGTCGCTGAAGTGACTAGATTTAATGTAAAGGCAGAGGTGAGATGTTTCTCATATAATGAGGAGCTTTATCAAAACAATACATAAATCACATCTACAGACACGATTACACAAAATCACTTCACTGGTGTATTCCCAATATTAACCACGTTATAGTACGGTTTCAGAATTAAAGTGTTGACTAGCTGCCTACAATAAATAGCCAGAGAATTTCAAGGCCATGACAGAAAGGTATTATAGGTGAAACTCTTCTTCTTCGCGTTCACCGGCTGTAAACTCCAGCGGAAAGTTATGGTTGTTCGACCAATTCTGGACTGCAGTCCTGTTCCAGAACCTGAGTGTTGCATGTGCATCCGTTTGACAGATCTGTATGCAGACTGTTGGTTCCTTGCCTCTCAGGCAGATGCACTCCGGCTTCGAAGGAAGCTCCCAAATAGTTTACTCTTACGTCATGCTTTTGGGTAGGCAGTGGGTCTATTCTTGTTTTTTCCATAGTAGGGTCCCGGAACCCACACAGAGGTTATAGGTGAAACTGTTAACAGTTAATTCACTCGATGTATTTATACCAAGGGTAAAAGTTATGCAGTTCTCAGAAGATTTACGGATTCTGTCACTAGATTTGACTAGATTTAATTAAAGGCAATCTCAGGAACGCAGATGTTTTGAAAGAGGCGAGGGCCTGGAGACAACTTATCACATCAGAAGGTGATTTTTTACCACGGTCTTTCCATTTGCACACCACCAGTTGTAGGTCAACTCCATTGATAAGTTGATTGGACTAGTCTACTGTGGTTGAGGTTATGGGTGTCGCAGTCTGTTTGGTATTTCCGAGAAAGAGACGGCATGTGACATAGGTTTTGTCAGACTCTAGGGGGGGTTGGGTGTTAGACCCAGTATCTAAATGTTTTAGAAGTGTTAAAAGCTCTGGCATGGTGAAATATACAACACGCTGTATCAGCGCGAGTGGGAAATTATCCCCATGACGTGTGAAAGTCGGATCGCTCGAGGCCGACCTATAAGTAGTGAGCTGGTCAGTAGGTCGTCTAATCAGAAGCGAGCTAGTGTGTAGCAGTGTGCAAATGGGGAGACCAGTGTAAAATTTACCAATCATATAGATTCATCTTTTTTGATCACTCTATGAGAAGAAGGGAAAGGAAAAACAATACGATGCACAGTACAGTATTTTAGCTGTTGTCGTGCCTGAGTGGTTAGCTCATCTGTTTACAATTCTTGTGGGCATGTGTTCAAATTCATACTGAGCCATACGATGCACAGTACAGTATTTTAGCTGTTGTCGTGCCTGAGTGGTTAGCTCATCTGTTTACAATTCTTGTGGGCATGTGTTCAAATTCATACTGAGCCATTTTTCCCAACTTCCATCCTCTCAGATCGGCCCATCATAAAACTGGTACAAGCAAGTGTCATGAGAAGACAACTTAGTCTTCGTGATTTTAGCATTTCTCTTGGCGACAGTTGATATACGCGATGGGGGAAAAAGCAAGATGAAGTTAAGTAAGCAGATGCTATTATCGAGATGTCGCTAAATAACTACAGTATCATCAAAATCAGTCGGCTCTGTGGCTAAGTCGATGCGAACGCTTTGTAATGCCGGGTTCGATCCCAACTGCAGGCCATGCGTTGGTTTCGACGGTGGTATCAAGTGGCTGTTGGGGTTGGTTCTGCAACGGATAAAGGATACGCAACTAACCTTATCATCAATATCAGTGTTAATTGTCTTTTAGTATGATGATTATTTAGGGTTTTGCTTATGTCTTTATCTGTGGCTGAAATGTCGGCTGCCGTTGGTGACTATGCCTCTCTTCACAATCTGCGATCCGCAACTGCATTCATCCATTCGCGTGTTGACACCCCTGTATGCAGTGACAAAAGGCTGCCAAGAATATTCTCGCACTGTCTTCCTCTGCCTCTCTTTCCACAGATATTCCCAGTAGTTATAACATTGTCCAGTTTCGTTCTTTTCATATAGCATGACCAAAAATGATGTCTATCTCTTTCTGATATTTGTATTACGTTGTCTTCGAACCATCGCCCCTTTCAAAACATCCGGGTTGCTGCTTTTAGATGTTCAAGAAATTCTAAGGATTCTTCTGTAAAGCTACATCTCCGCAAGTAATTGTTCGTCTTGTTTACTAATTGTCCAGGATTCACAGCTGGGATTTGATTTGATTCAAGAACCGACATCACAGCACTCGTGGCATTCACATAAGCACTCCGTCCCCATCTTCAGCAGCCAGCGAAGAGTTCCGATACTAATAGTGCCAGTAGCATTCTGATTAAACGTCAGTCTTGCCTTTCCTCTGAGCCTCGAGCAACTGCCAGAACCTGTCGTCACTCCCAGCTGCATCAATCTCACCAGACTGTGGTGATCCATCTGCTCCTCCGAACTGTACACGCTCTCCCACAAGGCCTGCCTTATCATGTATCAGTATTCCACCAAGATGTGCAGAGCCAGCCAGTCTGTCCGCCTATTTATTTCCCAACACACCGGCGTGACCGGTGAAAAAAATCCAGACAATACTCCTCACCAGTGTCCTCTGCAGCGAAGCACGCCACTCTGCACGAAGTATACCTGTTCTGATCTTCTACAGCATGCTTTCTGAATCAGTTACAATCTCGATGTCTGTGTGTCGTGTTCTCTAGCCAGCGGAAAGCTGCAGTGACCGCCTCCACCTCCATTCTTAAGCTGGATTTTGTGGTATCATATGATAGGCTCTCCTGCACCAAATGTCAACCATTAACTTTTGCTAAGAAGCCCCAAGCACTTCTTTTGCCTCTTGACACTGAAATTGTTCATCTTGTTTACTAATTGCCCAGGATTCACAGCAGTATGTTGAAACTGTCTCTATACAGAATGCGATAAGTCTTGTCCTAACCTCTAATGACATGGATTTATTGCATACAATGTTCTACATTTTATAAATCGGCATTATATATACACAGTATAAATCAGTTATTACACCGCAACATTAAATTTACTCATTCGCCATTGCTTTCTGAGTGGTTATAATACTCATGCCGTTTGTGAAGTTTGCTACATAATCATCTATAACCAGCGGCACCGGAATTCTACAGACAGGGGGGGGGGGGGGGGACCTCAGTGTCACTATTTATATTCATCAACAATCAGCAAGTCCTTTACAGAACGTCACTCTCTTCACGGCACTCCTGAAAGTATCTCTGTCCCTAGCCAGCTCTCCAGCCTCATGTGCTTTCATTGTCAATGCTTCTTCAATGTCATGTATCCATCTTCGCGGTGGTCAACCCCTGACTCGCCTTACACAAACAGCGCCTTCATCACCGTCTTTCCAAACCCACATGAAGTTTGATGTGGCCAAAATACTTTAACTTTCGGGACAGGATGCTGCTTACGAGCCAGTTCTCCTTGATGTTCAACTCGTTTAGAATGTCGATGT